TTTATTTTATGACTACAAACATGTTTTTACTCTTAATGGTGCAGGAACCAATATCAGTCAAGGAAAGCAAGCTGTATTCTGTTTGGCCTCACACACCAACAGAATTGTGAACTGCATTACTCGTGAAGATGAAAGAAGCAGAAAGAACCCAATTTGGCTTTCAAGGTTAAGCCAGGGCAGGAATTAAAAAAATCTTCCTAGTTACCGGGTAATTGATCAAATTTAATCTGAGAATGAGTAACTTGTGTTTCTGATATCTGTATTAAGGCTCCAAAACTGGTACCTCAAGGCTCGGCATTGGGAATATCCTGCTGTATTATCTCCTGATTGTTCTAAATTTACATATAAATTTAAAATTTGTTGTCATGGGGTAGGTACATCCCATCAGGGGGTGTCGGGTCACGTAGGGTTAGATGGAAGGGCGGAGGCGATTCTGCAGCCGGTCAAGTCCTATGCCGCTGACCCTTACTGTAACATGGGGTAGTATTACTTAGCAACCAGAGTCAGTGAGCGGCCCTTCCCGTCAGGGCAGCGTGGCCCAATGGCCAGAGTCAGTGAAGTAGCCCTCCTCTGTGAGATTGCACGGCCGGTTGGCCCGTTGGGAGAGTGAGGCGCCACTCAGGTGTGTGTGGCACTCCGGGTTAGGGGACTCATGCCCTCCCTGCTCCTCCAAGCCCCAGCCCAGAGCCCTAGCGGTGGTGGGGGTACTCACCACCGAATCAACGGGGATCCTCCCAAAACATGCTGACCAATCCCCCTGTTTACTCACCGACAAAGAGTTCAAGACCCCTGGCTGCTTCTTACCCTTTCCCCCTCGTCGAAACTCCCTGGGTCCCCAAATGGCCAGGCTCCCACTGGTACCGTCCTTTCTCTGGGCTCGTCGGAGTCTCCAGTCAGGAACTCTGTGAGCCATAGTCCCATAATCGGAGTTTGTAGCAACTCCCTGCAGTGATCTTGCAGCCTGAATCCTTCCCCATCAGCAGCCTCCCCAGACTGAGCTGGGCTGCTACCTTTTATATGCTGCCTCCAGGGTGAGCATGCCCAGCAGGGGCGGAGGGGCGGAGCTTCCTCAGCCTGCAAAGCAGAGTTAACCCTTTCGGGGCTTGTGCGGGGTAGGTACACCCCATCACATGTCTTTATTTGATGTTTGTATATATACTTTTTTCTTTCTTTATAAATACAGTGCTGTTGTCAGCTAATTTCTAAGTTGGGCATAAGCTTTCGTGGGTAAAAAAACCCCACTTCTTCAGATGTTTATGCCCAAATAAATACCCCACGAAAGCTTATGCCCAAATAAATCTGTTAGTCTTTAAGTTGCCACCGGACTCCTCGTTGTTTTTGTGGATACAGACTAACGCGACTACCCCTCTGATAATTTCTAAGTTATCATCTGCCAAAAACCTAGAGTTTTCAGGTGCCTAAGTAGCCCCTGAAACAGGGCCGCCCAGAGGATTCAAGGGGTCTGGGGGTCTTCGGCAGCGGGGGGCCCCGCCGCCGAATTGCCGCCGAAGACCCGGCACTTCGGCGGCGGGTCCCGGGGCAGAAGGACCCCCTGCTGCGGGTCTTCGGAGCACTTCGGCGGCGGGTCCTGGAGCGGAAGGACCCCCGCCGCCGAATTGCCGCCGAAGACCCGGAGCAGAAGAAGCTCCGGGGGCCCGGTACCTGCGACAGTTTTCCGGGGGCCCCGGAGCGAGTGAAGGACCCTGCTCCAGGGGCCCCGAAACACTCTCCTGGGGGCCCCTGCGGGGCCTGGGGCAAATTGCCCCACTTGCCCCCCCCCTCTGGGCAGCCCTGCCCTGAAATGGCTCTCCTGGTATCGGGGAAGTCAGAGGAACCAGGCAATTGATAAAGTGGGTTTGGTTGGTGGCGGGCAGGGAACAATGCTATGTGGACACTCTGGAAGGAGGAGACAGAGATCGGTGCCTCAGCACCAAATCAGCGCTTGGAAGGTTTGCTTGAAGCTACCACCTATACTCCCTGGTGCACGGAGACAGCAGCACCATCGGGTGCTCTTGATGCACTGTGTGATAAATGAAAAGGGGGAAGCTCGCTTTTGTGGACATCCAGCCAACCAGTTAGCTATAGAATCCCTCTTGGTAGCTGTTCTCTACTTGCTTTACCTTTAAAGGGTTAAAAAGTCGGTAAAGGGAAGTGAGTGGACACGTGACCAAAAGAGTCAACGGGAGGGCTAGAACTTCTTAAAATTGGGGGAAAACTTCCCTTTGTCTGTGGTTGTTGTTCATAGAATATCAGGGTTGGAAAGGACCTCAGGAGGTCATCTAGTCCAACCCCCTGCTCAAAGCAGGACCAAGCCCCAGACAGCTTTTTGCCCCAGATCCCTAAATGGCCCCCTCAAGGATTAAACTCACAACCCTGGGTTTAGCAGGCCAATGCTCAAACCACTGAGCTATCCCTCCCCCCTTTCTCTGGGGAAGAGGGGAACATGGCAGCAGTTATGCTGTGAGACGCTGAAGGCCAGATATGAAAATCATGAGAAATATACCTAGAAATTGCTTATTTGGAAACTCAGATATGTAAGTAGACCAGAAAATAAGTAGGAAGACGCGATTAGTTTTATTTTGTTTATTTCTTATGGCTTGTGGACTCCTCTATGCTAACCCCAAATGCTTTTGTTTTGCTTGTAACCTTTAATCTGGACCTCAAGAAGGTTATTCTTGATGCTTAATTTTTGTAAGTGGGTTTTGTAAATCTAGCAAAAGCCTAAATTCCAGATGTATTTTCTTTCTTTTTGTTTTTAATAACATTTACCTTTTTTAAGAACAGGATTGGATTTCCGGTGTCCTAAGAGGTTTGTGCATATATTGTTTAAATAGCTGGTGGCAACAGCTGATTTCCTTTGTTTTCTTTCTCAGCTCTTCCCTGGTGGGGGGGTAAAAGGGCTTGAGGGTACCCCACAGGAAGGAATTCTCAAGTGTGCCTTCCTTGGTTCCCAAAAAGGGGGCGTTCTTTTGCACTTGGGTGATGGCAGCATCTCTCTGACCTTGGATGGGTAGAAGCTGTAACCTTGGGAGTTTAATACCAGCCTGGAGTGGCCAGTATTAATTTTTAGAATCCTTGCGGGCCCCCACCTTCTGCACTCCAAGTGCCAGAGTGGGGAATCAGCCCTGACACACTGATCATGCCATACAGAAATAATGGCTCCCCTGGAGCTGTGGCCTGGTGTGCCAGAGAGCTGATGGAGCAACCAGCAGAGCCTATCTAATGCCAATGCCTTTGCATAGAGACACAGACCTGCCCTCCACCATACCAACCTTCTCTTTATACAACCCTGTTCCCCTCAAATTCTGGGCCCCAGCACTACACAGCTCCCCCCCATTTTGCCAAAGCCCCACATAATCCCTCAAGCCACATCCCTGCCCCAGTGCCCACCCTCACGTTCCATGCTGTGCAGCCTGCCTACAACTGCTCGGGAAACTTTCACAAAAAGAAAGGTTTGAACATCTTTCAAGTGTTCCTTTTCCCCCACTGGTCTTTTGCCTCTCATCAGGGAACCAACTCCAAGTATTGAAAAATCAAAAGCCAGGGCCCCCAAAAGCATGAGATGGCTTAAAAATCATGAGATTTTAAAAACATAATACAATACATTTGAGGGTTTTTTGTCTTCTGGTTTCTGAGCCTTCAGGGTGCATTCGGATCACATTTTTAAGCTTTTCTTCACAACCAGGAGGGCTCAAAACTTTTTGTTTTAAAGTGACCGCTGAAATTCTCACATATTCACATGGCTCCGGGATTTGGAGCTTTAAGAAATCCAACAAATATCATGAGATTAGTGATAAAATCACAAGATTAATCAACACTACAGAGCCATTCCATTGGGCAATCATGGCAAAACTCAGAGGATCCTGAGTAATAAAAGGACTGACTCCATATATGTTTTAATGTGAGCCTTTCAAAAAACAGCCGGCATCTGATCTAAGATCTGTATGCGTGTGCAGTACGGTGACCAGATGAGATGAAGAAAATATCGGGACACCGGAGTGGGGGGGAGGGGGGCGAGCAAAAAAAAAAAAAAAAAGCCAAGTGCTGCCGGCCGGCCGAGCAACAAAAACAAACAACAAAAAAGCTGAGATCGGTTGGGACGCGGGACAAACAGCTCAAAATCGGGACGGTCCCGATTTTATCGGGACATCTGGTCACCCTAGTGTGCAGGTTCGCAGGGAGGCCCTATCGTCATTCACCAAGAGCAGTGGTTCTCAAACTTTTGTACTGGTGACCCCTTTCACATAGGAAGCCTCTGAGGGCGACCCCCCTAATAAATTAAAAATACTTTTTTATATATTTAACACCATTATAAATGCTGGAGGCAGAGCGGGGTTTGGGGTGGAGGCTGACAGCTCGCGACCCCCACGTAATAACCTCCCACCCCCAGTTTGAGAACCCCTGACCAAGAGGAATACAAACAAATGTGAAGAAAACTGGACACAATTAGAATAAGGGACAAACATTCACAAATTTTTTATATATGTAATATAAAAAATGCCATTATCCTCTTGTAGTGTATAGGAATAGGGCGGTATCCTTTTAAATAATTTGTGATCCTTCTGGAGACACTCACTGTGTTCTATGTTTAAAACCAGAAATCTGCCAGAAATCAGACAGAGCAGCAGTACATATGTAGCTAGGCCTTGCCTGTTGTGTATATTTAGTCAACACAGTTATCTGGGACCTAACTGTGCCCATGTGGGTTTCTTCATGTTGTCTTGTGTAAAGAGCAAACAACAGAATTCCTCTTCAGAGTTATTGTGCCCAATTTGGAGACTAAATTCAAACTTTAGAAGTGTAGAACAGAGGGATTTTAGTCCTGTTTCAGCACAACCCTCAACTCCACATTAACTTTGCCATCACTACAGTCATCTCCATAACATTCTATACAGGAGGCAAATAATATAATCAGTCATTTGCACAGCAGCAACTCCCACAGGGTGTTAGGCATGGCCCACATGTGGGAATTCAGTCCCTGCCCCAAAGAATGTTCTTACCTTTCACTGTCTGTGTTTAGCACGTGGTTCTTTTCTTCTGCAAGTTTATCCTTCACAAAGACTTCATCCTCCCCACCTTCAGCTAGCAAAGCTAGAGAAAAGGACTCCGAGTCAACTCCTGGTTTGAAATCTGCCTGGGCTTCGTTCCAAACACTCTCAGACAAAGTGACTAACTCTGAGGAGACCGAGGCTGGAATGGGGTGGCTTGATGCTTTGGAGAACTTCTTTTCTACAGACACGGGCCTTTGTAAGTGTGCATTGGCCTCTAGCGCTGAACGCTTCACTCCCTTCTGCTCCTCTGCTTTCTGTATCCATAAAATCTCCACCCCTTGAAATTCTACATGTTTGCTCACAGCTGCCTCTTTCGATATCCTCCTCCCAGGACCCGTTTGCATCTCGCCTGGATTGTACGCTGAAAATTCCTTCTCAAAATCTGACCATCCCTCCCCCAGAATACTGATAACGCCCCCAACTTTGCTGTCTGCCTCCAGGGCTGGTACAGATGGTCTGTGACAGCTTGTCTCCTTCACTTTGGGGACCTCCTCAGTTTTATTATTGATGGCTTGCAAGGACTCTAACTGCATTTCTCCAGTTACTATTGTAGCCAGATCTTTTTCTATGATCAAATACAATTTCTCCTCAGCTCTTACTTCAGATGGAAGAGGCTTGTCTGAGGGTTTTTCTTGGCCTGCTGGAACCAATTCTCTGGCTGCCTGTATGCCTTGGCTGCCAATATTCCTTTCTTTTTCCATTTGCAGCTCTGAACAAAGAGAAGCATTTGCTCCCTTCTGTACTTTTGCAGCTTCTAGCTCTTGAGAAATTTTCATAATCCCGGTCTGTCTATCAGCACGTGGCAAAGTTTCTTCTTTCGATGGTAGCAGTGATGCCTCAATGCAAGATATTGGCACATCTGCGTAAGTGCCACTTGCAAGAAGAGTAGGCAACTGGTCATCCTCCCTCCTTTCTGAACTGCATGTTATAGCCTCTGCTAGAAACTCAGATGAACTCCTCAGTGCTTCTGCACCTTGCTCCATCGTGCCATATTCTGGAAATTCATTGGAAACGTTATGTGGGAGCAGAGTGCTATCTCCTTGTCCACCTACACAAAAGAAAGAGAGTGTATTTGTCTATTGGGTACATCCATCTACTTGTTAAGGGTATTAGCTCCATTCCCAGTGTTCTGCTAACAGATTAGCTGCATTGCTTCTGCAAGCCCACTGCAGAGAAATGCTATTGTATTTAGCTCTTTTTGAATGCTACTGCACTGTATTTATTCAAAATCAGGCTTTTTACATTTGAGTTTCGGGGGAGCATATTTTTGGAAGTTAGCACTGCCAAGTTAAGAATGCCAAAAATATTTGCTGAGCTTCACAGGGTCCCAGTGGCCTGTGAATAGCATGGGACACATGCCAGATGAGGGAACTGAAGTACGCAGGTATCTGGAGGTTTAACATCCGTCCACGCTGCATTACCTTGTGTTTTATACATTAATGTTATTATCATTTTCTCTTTTTAGCTGTTCTAAAGAGCAATGGTATGGAAAGCAACTGGTCAGATCCCACATATCCCACAAGTACAGACAAACAAAACGGGAAATGCTAGCAAGATTCCAATTAGCTGATTATAAGGTAATTAATAAACTATGACACTCTCTAGCACTACACCCTCGTCTTTTCAGAACTTGTATAACTGAAGACCAAACTGCAGTGACGCATGGACATTTATCAGCACACTTTACAACTTTCTAGTAGAAGATTAAATCCAGTGTCACACATGAAGGCTGGGGGGTTTTCAGTCTTGTTTTTCAAGCTGATAAAAATAAAGCAATTGAGAAAACTGATGGCCAGATTTTCAAAGGAGCTAAGCATCCAGCAGCTCCGATTGTTCTCCGTCAACACTAATTCAACTGTTCTCAATGGGAGCTGCTGGAGGTTACACTTATGAATCTCTGGCCACTTCAGTTAGGTGCCTATGTTGAGGCTGAGCACTTTTGGAAAAATCTGGCCTTGAGTACTTACTTAGTCATTCAGAAGAAAACTAAAAGCATGTTTTAGAACCCAGTTGTATCTATTATTATTATTATTACAATACCGAGATGGGCTGAGATCCAAATCGAAACCATCTCCTGGCTTCATACCCCATCCCTACTCTGACATGGGCCTGGGGAATATATCTGGAATTGGACATGGACCTACATTTCATAAATTTGAACAAATCTGGAGGGTTTAGGATTTAGATCCCATTTCACAGCCCATGTTTAATTGCCATGTAGCCCCCAAGTAATGAAGTCAAAGGCTCTCCTATAACTGTGAATAGCTAGATTCTGTTTACTTCATCTCTCTGAGATGAAAATTCATAGGGAAGTTATTAATGGCACCCAACTCTTTCAGATAATCCTAACATGTCCTTAGCAGTGCATCATGGCAATACAGTTTGTGGCCCTATCTCCAAAGATAGATCAAATGGAATTTTTAAAAGAAGAATAGGCAGATGCTGAACCATAGAATCATAGAATCATAGAATATCAGGGTGGGAAGGGACCTCAAGAGGTCATCTAGTCCAACCCCCTGCTCAAAGCAGGATCAATTCCCAACTAAATCATCCCAGCCAGGGCTTTGTCAAGCCGGGCCTTAAAAACCTCCAAGGAAGGAGACTCCACCACCTCCCTAGGTAACGCATTCCAGTGCTTCACCACCCTCCTAGTGAAATAGTGTTTCCTAATATCCAACCTGGACCTCCCCCACTGCAACTTGAGACCATTGCTCCTTGTTCTGTCATCTGCCCAGTTTTTTAACCTACTAGTTCTTCAGCAAAGGTTTTCAAATTTATAGGAGAGTGAAAGAAGGCTGAACAGTTTCTAAACAATAATATTTATTAACCACTACCTAAGCACACGGATAATTCAGCCTATTTGTATCTGCATCCAAGCCGCAAAAATGGTCGGCGGATATCTGCGTCTGATATAAAGCAGATATCCACAGGTTTGCAGGGCTCTACTTATAAGGAGTCCCTTACTTAAATATTTTTCCCTAAACACATCTAAACGGCCATGACTTCCTCTCATATGCTGAAGAACTGCTTAGAAAATGCATTTCTAGAAGCAGCCAGAATGCTTCCAACATGCATTCAGCTTTGCCTGCATGAGTTTCATAAGCCAGCTGCATGCTGACTGTAGCAGGTAAGCTACAAGGACAATCAGTGACCATGTTTTAAACCTAAAACCCTTGCAAGGGATTTGTCAGTCTCAAAGGCCATCTTGGCTTCTGAGGCAATCCAAGAAAAACAGTGCAGAGCTTAGTTTTCAGGCAATGAATATAGGGCACAGCTGTGAGCTTCCCCACTCACTCTATGTGACAAGGCAGCTGCTTAGTAAAGCAGTAAACAACTCACAACAAGTTTCTGATGTTTTCATTTTTTTCATTAACTCCATGAGTAACCTAATCCCTAGCAAAACCATGGCCAAAGCTCTACGGTGCATCCAAAGAATAGAGGAGTGCTAGTTAAAAGACTCACTGGGCTAAAGCAAAAACTACAAGTTTGCAGTAGAGATTTAGGGTCTTATTCTCATTTACACTACATCCCCCGTTATACTGATCTTCCAATATAAAGCCCACTCTAAGGTCCCTTTACACTGCCAGTGTTGTGAAAGAGCCCTACGGTAAATAAGAATCTGGCCCTTTATTGGAGTCCCAGGAAGAAACAGCAAATTGATTATCTCAAACTAGTTTCAATCTAAAATGCTCCTAAAGAAAACATGTGAAATAAGCAATCAAAGCATTAACTTTTTCTGATATGATCTACAGAACCAACTTCCACAGTCAACTTTACCATGGTCTCTATTCTTTGCAGGAACACATTCTGGAAGGTCGACCAGCAACCACCTGTTCTTAAAAAAGGCTCACTACAACGCTAGTGGAGCACATGCCTTATTTCAGGTAGCAGTGTTTAAAGGAGCTCGAGTTCTTTAAGGGAAACCCCTCCCCTCTTCCCATCCACCACCACAGCATCATGTCTTGCTACAGCTCCCAGCATATCCTGTCTAGCCCCCATCCCCCAACATGACTGCATTACAAACAAGGCTAGAAAAGGAACAGCAAAATCAGGTGCTCCGCTGAAGATAAGCCGAACAATAAACGATGAAAGGATACACTCTTTCAGGTAACACCAATTTCTACTTTCCATTTAAGGTTGCTTCTTTCGATAAAGCAAAATAAAAAATAAAAAGGCTCAAAGCTAAAATAGCAAGAGAGGTGTACGGAAGGAAAGCTGAGACACTGGGAAAATAGAGCCTGAGAGCAGCTGGCACTTTTTTGATGCCTAGACATTTAAAGAATCCATTACTTAATCCGCACTGGCATAAATATGATACTTCATATGTAAATAATCAACCATCACATTTCAATCTAACACAGGAGCTTGGTCATGGCATAATAAAGGAAAGGCTAGGAAGCAAAAAGAAAATAAATCAAACACACATTACAAATATAGAAAGACATTTTCACAGGAACATTTTACAAAAATGTCTCTCTCTCGCTCTCTCTGTTAGCTAGCTAGCTAAATATATATTTATTTCAACAAAGTCTCCTACTCACAGAGATTACTGTAGCTCCAGCAGTTACCCATTGGTCAATGAATATGCATAGATCATCAGTTTATCTATAATGATACAAGCTAATTCAATTGCTGCTGTTCTAGTCAACTGGAATCAAAATAGTTTCAAATTTCCTGGCAGCCCGCTGCCCTGCATTGCACACGGAGATGTAAATGGAAGCATTCTGAGCCTTATGAAACTGATGAGGGAACTGCAGTCTCATTCACTCTATCACAGAAGCTAAGGAGTCCAACTTGGCAGCTTATAAAAAATAGCTCCACTAGGGATTTTCTGTAGTTGAGAAGATTATTTCCGGGGAGATATTTATGATTAACAGGAGTTTGTTTTATTATAATCAGATTCATCAACACAAAAGGATCAAGAGTACAAAGGCAGTTCTGAGAGTGTAATACTAGCCTTGTAGTAACAGAGGCACAATGGCACTTTCGCATTATAGCGTATCTTCTCTGATGCAAGCATGACTGCACACAAAGACAAGTTTCTTATATTTTAATTGCCCCCAAGCCCGTGTACTGTTCATAAGCTATATTTTAAATTAAAAAGATGGAAGAATTTATACTAATTATGCTTTCCTTTTTTTTCTTTTCTTTTTTTCAAATTTAAGCAAAAAAAAATCTGTTTAAGGGGGGAAAGTACCATTGGTGATACAGAATATTAGTGTATATCACTGAACAACAACTTGCAGGAGTCATGGAATTTTCTTACTAACTTAACCATCTCAAAGGCACAGAACCCCCTAAAGTGTCATTTTAAAGTCCCTCTAACAATACTGGAACTATTTGATTTTATCAAGAGTATCTCGTATCACACAGAAATGGAACTGGCTCAGCCAATCAGACAGCAGGGATACTGTACACATACAAATCGTTTTTTTCTGCAGTTCTTTAGTTTCTAAATGATGCGACTCCCTGTGCCTTGATTGGTTCCGACTGGTGGATGAACTTTATTAGCCAAAATAGAAGGATTTGCATAATCATAGTACAACTCTTCTATAATGGAACAGCAAATATCCAAATCTCTCTGTTTTGATTGGCTACATTGATCTTCCTGCTCTGCCTGGCACCTCTCCTCAGGATTTTCAAGCTGTCTGCTAGCAACAAAGATATTGCCTGAGCTTCATATGCCCTTTAGCTGAAACCAGGAAACCTCCAGAATTTACATGAAAGAAAGGGGAGAAAGGGCTGGGAGATGTATGAAAGGGAAATTGTTTTACAGGAGGAGGTGGAGAGAGACAGCCAAAAGGAAAGAAGTGGGGGTCAGAAGTTCCTGCTATCTTCGTTGTGACCAAGTATTACGATGTTATCACGAACTCCTGATAGTATTCTTTTTGAACTCCCAGTGCCTGGAGTCCTGTGGTTATGTCAGAATCCCAGCATTCATTTAAAAAAAAAAAAAAAAGCTTGAAAATGTAAACTCTAACAAGCTCAAAGATCAGACAGCAACTGAAAAGAACATAAGATTTATTCTTTAAGTCTCATGATATTTTG